AAACACGTTATCAATTGAATTTATTTGAGAATGTGAAACCTGCAACTCTCATTGCTATGGCTGATATTCGAAATGATGGACAATCAAAAGTTGATATTGAATCTGCAGAACTTTTAGGCGGTGATATTAACTTACAAATGTATGGAGTGTCCCAGTATATGCCAACAAGCTATGCCAAGGTTTCTGATAGTTACTCAGAAGCCGCTGGAGGTATGGCTGGTCCACCACCCCCTCCATCGGTTGGACAAGGAGAAGAAGTATCCGGTTTATATGTATTTGCTATCAGTGAACCAATTTCAATTGATGCTAAAACAAATTATCTTTTACCAATGTTTCGTCCACGAGTAACTGTGGAACGATATGCTTCTATTTCAAAATACTTCTATGGTGCTGGAAATGTAAATGGTAAAGCCGAACGTGCATATCGTCTTTCATCTGACCGTTTTCTTTCAAGTGGTAATTGTATTATACGTGAATCTGATCGTCTTGTTGGTGAAACATCCCTACCAGATATAGCTGCTAAAAACAAACATGAATTTTCCGTTGGTAAAGATGCTGATATAGTCTACAAAGAAAATGCAACATTAGTCTCTTCATATACGACTAATGTAACAACTTCACATTACGGTGTGAAACAAACACGAACACAATCAACATACGATCTTGCTTTGACATTGAAAAATTACAAGAATCGTCCAGTTAAAATTGAATATCAACAACGGTTCCATGGTCAATCACTAAAATTAATAAAAAGTACTACAAATTTTACACAAGATGGTTCGACAATTAAAGCTACATTTACATTAGCATCTGATGAAGAGAAAACAACTTCGTATAAGTTTGAAGTAGTCAACTAACTTAAAGAACATTAGATTTTTTCTTTAAATACTTTATTACATCTTATATAATGAACACTTTTATTCAATAAAAAAGAACACTAGAGGTTTAGATGCAAGTTTATCTAATTAGAAGTGAAATATAAAGTTGAAAAATCTCCTGAAATTTATTAGCTAGTTATATAAAACAATATTGAAGTATTAAATTAATATCGAATGGAATTTGCAATAAAATTTTTCATGAAAATAGGACATGCTATATGACATCATACTAGTATGTTTTTTTTTCTACCTTATATAATGGATAATGGAGTAAATCAGCAAGTCTATACATTGATGTTTTTATTCAACTGAATGTGCTAAAATCTTAATGAATAGATCAGTATTTTGTAGCTAGTATAGAGAGCGACGGAAAACTATTCCTTATGTTGATATGATCATCATGATTTTCAAGAGATTGATTAAAGTTGTTCATTATGAAATATTGATGATTCACTTCTAATAATGTTTGATTGAATAAAATATTTACCATATAAATCTTCAATTTAGATCTCTGTTTCTAAAGAACAGAAGGTATGAAAAACCACTTTGAAATGCTTCTTATTTCTATAAATCATCAGTACGTATAAACATTAGTGAACAGATGTCTTCACCTAAATTGATCTCGACCATTTTATGTACTGAAAGTATAAACATTTGTAAAAATATGCTTCATCGAAACTCTAGGTAATGTGTATTGCAACGCTATTATTGCTTAATTATAAAAGAAGTTATTATCGATGAAGCCTATTTTTGTTGTCAATTTCATTAGCCTGAAAAAGGAAGAGTATTCTATGTCGATCAGTTCCTCAATATGTAATGCTATGCCCAGTTATCTACATCACTAATTTCATATAAGTTCATCAATCCTTTCAAAGACTATACACATTTTACTGTGTTTATTGTTGTGGAAAGAAATGACCTACTGCGTGTCAAAGATCAATATCTCAGTGATACTTTAATCAAACGAGTTCAATCTTTTCGAGAAGTTTTCTCTTCAGTTAGACACATAAATATTAAGTACAAATTTAGAAGCGAATCTTGCACTAAAGAGAAACGAAACATAAATGATCAACTTGGTCATTCCAACGATTCAGAAACATTAATATTCAAGCAAATGAACTCATCTTTTTAGATGAAGAGAGTTCATAGACGAGACTTCAGTGATATGTAAAAATATCAAAAAAATTAATAATATTTTTCTTGATAAGCTGTATAGAATTTTGTAGACAGTCTTTTTAAAGTTATAATGCTTAGAACAACAAATAGGTATCATCCATCATACCTTTCTTTGTCATTAAGCAATGATGATGTCACAATGTTAATGGCCTACATTCTTAATGGAGTATATATGTACAAATATTCAGCTCTCCAGCACATACAGTGGTTGAGATCGGTTGGAGTAGAGACATTTGTCTACTACTATACATTATTTAATCGAAGTTTAAATACATTATCAATGTCTAGATGGTTTTATTCAAATACCAAAATTGGTATATTTTTCCATGTTGTTTTTAATAGTATCAACCACACATGAAAAATAGATGTATATTTATCTTTGATCATCATTGATATAAGACAGAAATTAGGATTGATCTCTTGTTTTTTTTCTTTCGTATAATTTTTTTTTTAAATGTTTTTGCTTTGTCCAAGTCAAAAAGAAAAATCAACAGAAAGACACATAAATGACAACAGAAAA